AAAGGTGCACTACAGGTATCTCCGAAAGTGTCTGTTGCGTTGGCACGAATCGAGTCTGGGATTTGTCACTCCGTTTAACGGAGAGGTATCTCTGGGCCCACTTGGTAGGACATCATCATAATGTGCACAATGTGACCAAGGGGTTGATCATGGGATGATCTGTTACGGAACGAGTAAAGAGACTTGCCGGTAACGAGATTGAACAAGGTATCGGCATACCGATGATCGAATCTCGGGCAAGTACAATACCGCTAGACAAAGGGAATTGTATACGGGATTGATTGAGTCCTTGACATCGTGGTTCATCCAATGAGATCATCGTGGAACATGTGGGAACCAACATGGGTATCCAGATCCCGCTGTTGGTTATTGACCGGAGAACGTCTCGGTCATGTCTGCATGGTTCCCGAACCCGTAGGGTCTACACACTTAAGGTTCGATGACGCTAGGGTTATAAAGGAAGTTTGTATGTGGTTACCGAATGTTGTTCGGAGTCCTGGATGAGATACCGGACGTCAGGAGGAGTTCCGGAATGGTCCGGAGGTAAAGATTTATATATGGAAAGTCCTGTTTTGGTCACCGAAAAAGTTTTGGGTTTTATCGGTAATGTACCGGGACCACCGGGAGGGTCTCGGGGGTCCACCAAGTGGGGCCACCATCCCTGGAGGGCTGCATGGGCCAAGTGTGGGAGGGGACCAGCCCCAGGTGCGCTGGTGCGCCCCCCACAAGGGCCCAAGGCGCCTAGGGTTTGGGGAGGGGGCGCACCCACCTAACTTGGGGGGGGCAAGTTTCCCCTCTCCCCCCCTTGGCCGCCACCCTAGATGGGATTGGGGGCAGCCGCACCCCTTGGGGTGGAAACCCTAGAGGGGGCGCACCCCTCCCTCTCCCCTATATATAGTTGAGGTCTTGAGGGCTGCCAACACATGAGTTTGACCTCTCCTTGGCGCAGCCCTACCTCTCTCCCTTCTCCTCTCCCGCGGTGCTTGGCGAAGCCCTGCAGGATTGCCACGCTCCTCCACCACCACCACGCCGTTGTGCTGCTGCTGGACGGAGTCTTCCTCAACCTCTCCCTCTCTCCTTGCTGGATCAAGGCGTGGGAGACGTCACCGGGCTGTATGTGTGTTGAACGCGGAGGTGTCGTCCGTTCGGCACTAGGATCTCCGGTGATTTGGATCACGACGAGTACGACTCCTTCAACCTCGTTCTCTTGAACGCTTCCGCTTAGCGATCTACAAGGGTATGTAGATGCACTCTCCTTCCCCTCGTTGCTACTCTCTCCATAGATAGATCTTGGTGATTCGTAGGAAAAATTTTGAATTTCTGCTACATTCCCCAACAGGGATGCCCATTTTTTTCAAATACATGTCTGCGGCGGGAGCTACAACCAGAGACGACAGGTGTTGCGATTGGCGGTGGCCGGATGGGCAAGCAGCAACCCTCCTGAACGAGCAGCAACACTTCCTGGGCGAGTGGCGATGCAGGGTCGCCAGGGCTCCTAGACGAGCAGAGGAGTCACTTCCCTCCTGGACGAGTGGCGGCGGTCTTGGACGGCTGGACGAACGGGACCTCCTATGTGCCGCTTATTGCGGCAAAATGTTGCAGCTTCGCACAGGAGATGGGTCACCTGGGCCGGCCGAGATGGGTCACCTGGGCCGGCCCATTCGCTGCCCTGAACGAGCAGCAACACTTCCTGGGCGAGGGGCGATGCGGGGTCGCCAGGGCTCCTAGACGAGCAGCGGCGACATTCTTGGACGGCTGGACGAACGGGACCTCCTATGTGCCGCTTACTGCGGCAAAATGCTGCAGCTTCGCACAGGAGATGGGTCACCTGGGCCGGCCGAGATGGGTCACCTGGGCCGGCCCATTCGCTGCCCTGAACGAGCAGCAACACTTCCTGGGCGAGGGGCGATGCGGGGTCGCCAGGGCTCCTAGACGAGCAGCGGCGACATTCTTGGACGGCTGGACGAACGGGACCTCCTATGTGCCGCTTACTGTGGCAAAATGCTGCAGCTTCGCACAGGAGATGGGTCACCTGGGCCGGCCCATTCGCTGCCCTTGGCAGAATGAAAAATTCCAAAAAGAGACGCGCGACGTAGGAATCGAACTCTCCACCTTCTAATAGATGCTCGCGACGCACAAGCCACTGCGACACACTCACTACTCTGTAAGAATTGCAGCGCGTCCCTTAAAGAACTATAAGCAGCCGTGAAAATAAAACAAATTCACTAAATTCCATAAAAAATAAAATATATGGGCAACTGATCGAACTCTTCTCCTCACGCCAAGGAAGCCAGTCCAGAGCCATTGTGGTAAATCCCATACATTTTTTAATTTATGACAAAATTTAAACACGTAAACATTATTTAAATTTTCCTATTTTTTAAGAAACAAATGCGAACTATTTCCTAAACAAATAGTTTCTGGTGTGTGAACATAATTTAAAAAGGTGGACATTTTTTGAAACGAGCGAACAAATTTTCAAATTTATGAACAAAATTTGAAAACGGGAACATTTTCAGTAAAAATGAACAAAATTTGTAAAAATGAGAACAAAAATTAACATTGCAAACAAATTTTGAACTCCAAACTTTTGAAAACACGAACAACATGAACAAAATTTGAAAAAACAAGAACAAAAATTAAAATTCTGAACAAATTTTCAGAATAAAAAATAAGATTCCGAACAATTTTTAAAACACGAACAAAAATGAGAAAAAAATTAACATTCCGAACAATTCTTCAACTCCAAACTTTTGAAAACACGAGCAACATGAACAAAATATGGAAAAACGAGAAGAAGAATTAACATTCTGAACAAATTTTCAGAACAAAAAATAAGATTACGAACAATTTTTAAAACACAAACAAAAATGAGAAAAAAATTAATATTCCGAACAATTCTTCGACTCCAAACTTTTGAAAACACGAACAACATGAACAAAATTTGAAAAAAATGAGAACGAAAATTAACATTCCGAACAAATTTTCAGGTCAAAAGTAAGATTCCGAACAATTTTGGAAAAGACAAACAAAATTTACGAATTAGAACATTTTTTGAAATTTCTGAACAGATTTTGAAAATGCGAACAATTATTGAGATTCTCATCTTTTTCGAATTTTGTAAATTTGAAACGAATTTTGATAACAGGAAACATTTTCATATATTTTTAACAAAAAATTGAAAAATGTAATCATTTTTGAAAATTCTGGACAGTTTTTGAAAAAGGAAAATGAACTTGAAAAAAGAAAGAGAAACAGAAACAGAAAAAACGAAAAAGAAAAAAATAATAGAAAGCCAGAAAAACCAAGAAAAGAATCAAAACAAGAAACAAACCCGGTTTAGGGAACCTTCTAGAAGGTTCCCAAAATCGTTTGGACGGACTGTGTATATGCGTAAGTGGGCCGGCCCATATTGTGTCGCTGGCTTGGCTGCTCTGTGCGATCGCCCGACACTTTTGGGAGTCCCTGCCTGACGCTCGTTAGCGTCAAAGAACGAGCTTCCGCGCAGGCGCGATCGAAATGGGCCGGCCCATTCGATGGCATCATGGCCAAGACGATACTACAAAATTAAAGAAAAACAAAGGTCGCACTTGGATACGAACTCATAACCAGGCGATAGCGGGTCAGCGTTCTCAACCAGTTGAGCTGCGAAGTGTTCGTGTTTACTAGGCCGCAAAAGCTTTTATGAACTCAATGCGTTGGCAGATCCAGTAAAAATCAAAACCATGGAACATTTTTGTAAAAATACCACGAACAATTTAAATACACATCGAACTTCTTGATATATGCTGAACAATTTTAAAATACACATATTTTTGTGATATACGCTGAACATTTTTATAATATACATTAAAACATTTTTTATTAATAAAGGACGAACATTTTTTGAACTAAACATTGAACATTTTTGTGATATATGCTGAACATTTTATGAAATGTACATTAACACATTTTTTATTAGTAAAGGATGAACATTTTTTGAACTGCACATTGAACATTTTTGTGATATAAGCTTAACAATATTTAAATAGACACTGAACATTTTTGTGATATATCACGAACAATTCTGAAATATACATTGAACATTTTTGTACTATACGCTGAACAATTTGTTGAATTGTGATTGTTTTTGAAAAAACTGATTTTTCCAAAACCGTGAACAAATTTTGAAGTTATGAACAAATTTGGAATTTTGAACATTTTTTAAAACTTAGAATAAAAATAAAACCTAAAAAGGATAAAAGGAAAGGAAAGGAAAATAAAAATAAATATAAAAAGAAACAGGAGAAAAGGAAACAGAAACAAAAAAGAAAAAGAAAAAGAAACAGGAAACAGAAAAAACCGAAAAAAACAGTAATAAAGGAAAAAATCGGAAAAACCGGTTGAAGGAACCCTCTAGAAGGTTCCCAAAACCGGTTTGCCAGGCACTGCTTCAACACTCAAAGTGAGCCGGCCCGTTTCGCGCTGTTCGCTCGCCCGCTTCAGCGAAAGGGCTGCAGTCGGACGCACGCGAGCGTCAAATAGGATTCGCCGACACTTTTGCCGCAGCGAGCATCCAATAGGATTTTCCTGGACGAACGGCGGCAACTGGGAAGGGGTTTAGTTCGTGGGCTGCCTGTCTTGGCCCAGCACGGAGCAAGCCACTAGTGGGCTGTGACCCGGGTCTAATGTTATACCCTCAAAGACAGAAAAAAAACTTCTTCTCCACTGATGGAATGGAATACAAGATCAGCTACATGGTAGATTTGTCTCAAAAAAAAAGCTACATGGTAGATTTGTCTCAAAAAAAAAAGCTACATGGTAGATATTTAGAGAGACACCTTGATGATGCTTCAGCGGCAACTCGATCCACAATAACATAGGCTGAACACTTCATCGGCTACTTAGTCCATGTCGGCGTTCTTACAAAAGCGCGCAGGCCACAATCAAGGTCTGCACCTTGACCGTGGATGATCCCTCCCATGTGACGTGAGGCGGCGAGGGTTCACGGAATCTCAGTCTCACCTGATGGTGGAATACATTATGCATTCCCTGGAAATGAAGATGAAAGGCTGGTGGGGAACGGGGTTCCTGAAACACAACATAACAAACAGGGCCTAACTAAGTAAAAAACCACGAGACCTAAGTATCTATTTAAATCAAATATACCAAGACACGGGGTTACAGAATGCAAATAGATGGTCGGGTGGCTGCTTGTAGAGTATCCAACTTACAGTCTTGGCCCATATATCTTGATCTGTCGGACATGAGTGTCCCTCCCGTTCAGGTGATTGGCCAACACCGCAATTTGGAGCATAAATGTACGAACGAATGTTTCTCTGCACAAACATGCCAAGAAAGAGAATTATAAAGAATGCACCTGCCTGCAAAGGCCATACGCTTTAGCAGTGGGATCCAAATAGTGCCACTCGTAAATTAGTTCTGAAAACCTTGTGTATTTCTAGAGTATATATACTCATGGGCAAATTATATGCCTCATGGCAAGCTAATTAATGAGATATTATTATTAGACTGAAATGAGTGAGCCGCAGCGTCCGATATACTTGACACATCGACGGAATATATTAATTAGTAATAGAGGGCTGACATTTTAGATATTCATGCATTAGTACTAGTATAAGTGACATTTTAGATACTCCTACAGGAACTTGAAGATACAATTTTGACCAATAGTTTGCTTGTAGTGTTTTCCTTTTTTTAGAAAAACAAGAGGGCTGACCCCGGCCTTGTATCAGTGTACATATATCCCTCAATCAATTATTGTAGAGCTTACACAGTACTTTCTCTGTCCAGGTTTATTAGTCCCTCCTATTTTGGATCGAATTTTAACCTTAGATTTAACTAGCAAAACATAAGTTATAGGTACCTTAAAAATAGTATCATGAGAAACTTCTTTCAAACAAGAATCCAACAATATATTTTTTGTGGCACTCTAACTTATATTTTGCTAGTTTGCTACTACTAAATACGACAGTCTACACTACTCTAAAATTTATAAGGCTGAAGGTGAAAATTAACTTGAAAAGAAAATCAAATAAGTTTGGACTGATCATGGTGGAGAGTACTTCTCGAATGAGTTCAATTTATTTTGTACGGAACATGGTATTATTCATGAGAGGATGCCTCACTGTTCACCCCAATCAAACGGGGTTGCTGAACGAAAAAACGTACTCTAAGATGCCAAGAAAGAGAATTAAAGTATGCAACTGCCTGCAAAGGCCATACACATAAGCAGTGGGATCCAAATAGTGTCACTCATAAATTAGTTCTGAAAACCTTGTATATTTCTAGAGCATACTCAGTGACCAAATTATATGCCTCATGGCAAGCTAATGGGACCTTTATTATCTGACTGAAATGAGTTAGCTGCAGTGTCCGATATACTTGACACTTCGACAGAGTATCTAAGTTTGCCAAAGCCTAAGGAAAATTATGCAAGCAGTGGCCTGCACAGGCAGTGCGCTGAAAATTTGTGACATCCAACATGTCAAAACAGAATTTTATCATCATGGAAATTCCAAAACGAGAAATGCATATTATGTCATCAGATGGTAGTGTGAGCTATACCTTCTGAAATGTCAATGCTAGAGGAAGGAAAATAAAGGCATCATAGGGTTTAAGTTACAAAATTCGTACCGGGGATCAGTGCCAGATAATGATATATGAACCCATCCTACTGACTTTGAAAGTTCCACCGTTTTAATTTCTTGGAAGCATGGTATATATAATGGTTCATCATTTGAGATCAAGATAATACTGGCACTGTAAATTTGAATTTCCAAGGATCAGTTCAGTGCCCAATGGACAACTACACGCAATGCAAAATCATTGCAGAATATTACTGTAAATGTAATCCTATGATACGTCAGAATATGGTGCAACAATAAGGTAGTGTAATAATCCTAAGCCATCAGACTATTCAAGCTGCAGCAGTTTTTTATTTTTACTCAGGACACATTAAGTCATGCTTCCGTACCAAAACTTTCATTTGGACATGTTAGAACCTGATGGACATGCATGATTTTTTTTAAAACATAGTGCATTTTGAAGTAGGCAAAACATATCTCAAATATAGTGCCCCCCCATCCAGGCGTGCAAAATCCGCTTTATTTCTTATATAGTTCAATTAAATTTACAAAGTACTAGTTAGCTGTCAAAATTTGTGAACAAAAATGTACATGGTTGGAAAACATGCCTGTAAAATACTGGAACCTGGTTAGTTATGGGCAATAAGACTTGGTGTATTCCAAAAACCGAAGGACATTAGGTTCAGCTAAAGACAAGTATGTTTGTGCGAACACGGCACTACCTTTTGTGGTTGGCAAGTCACCGGCAAGCATGCTAAATGATATATTTGTGAAAGGTGCACCATGACACACAAAACTGTGATGTGCCACAGCTGTGGCAACAATCCACATACTGACTGCCACAAATAAACAAAAGAGAAAAAATAGCAAATGTAGCAGTGAAACTACCAGCTGAAAGGCCGACACTGCTCATCTTTTTTCACACTTGCTCAACAGTTTGGACATAGCAGGAAAGCTAGTGCTGCTCAGGTAATATAAAGGTAATGAATATGAATACTCTATGAAGTTCTGAAGAACATAAAATTATCGATCGTGGCCACTGGCTACAGCCGTTTAGGCATGCATATTTGAGTTCTAAACTGAACCATAACTAGTGAATGCACGCATGCATATCTTAAGGTAAACACTGTCTAAGCTGAAATGGTGCTTTTGTTCTTTCATGACAACTTGCTGCATGCCTGATTTTCCCACAATATCCTGTTGTTTTCCTGTTTGCTGCTATAAATAATTTTGTTTCAATACAATGAACTTTATTGAATTGCAAACTTTTAGTGCGCCAAGATTACTTTTATTCTCAAGCAACAATTTTAGCCAAGTGCTCTCACCATCGAGCACAGATCATGACTTAGACTTCAGAGATACATGTGTGCTATCTATCACTGGGCTTCTCGCTGCTATGTTCCAAGGCCCTGAACATTCTCAAAACGATATATCGCGGAGTAGCCGGAGGGGGTCACCTTGAGATTGTGGAAGCCGTCGCCAGCCCGGATGGAGATCTTGTTCGGCGTGTAGCTCTCGTCCAGCTTGAAATCCACATACAGCACAACATGCTGTAGCTGCACCTTCTTCTGGAACTGGATGTTGACCAGGTGCGGTTGCGCACCGTCCGACCTGACAAACGCCCAAAACAGATACAGTGATTCACTGAGAAACAAAGAGGGAGAGATTTCGATGCAGGGGAAGACGGCGCTCACTGCCAGTACGTGTCGAGGCTGTCATCGCGTAGGGAGGCGACGCCATTGCCGGGCTTGCTGGAGCTGACGCTCCAGACGGCCGTCTTGGCCATCTCTCGCATGTCACCCTCCAGCGAGAGCTCCGGGCAGCCCTTCAGCTGTCCTGCCACCGGTGCCCCCGCTGACGCTCCCAGCGTCGGCGTGGCCGCCGCCTCCTGCTCGCCGTCGGACTCCATCGGCGCGCGATCACGCCCCAGGCCAAAAAACTAAGGGCAAAAAAATCACCCCCAAAGATTACCCCAGTTTTAAGGCATACCAAAAGTCAAGTTCCTCTCACAGGAACAAAGATTACTAAAATTAAAATTATTTTTTTTACGAAAAGGCTTTCTACATTGAACTAATAAACTCTATAGTACATGAGCTAACCATCAATATGTTGGAACATTTGAACTAATCTATTGAAAGGAAAAATCATTCAAGTCAGCAAGGCATCAAGTAGTGCAAGAGGGAATTAGGATTTGGGAAAGGTCAGAGGGGCTGAGGGGGCATACCGTGCGGAGGCGGGAAGCGGGAGGCCGTATGGGCGGGCGGCAACCCTCCTGAACGAGCAGCAACACTTCCTGGGCGAGTGGCGACGCCGGTCGCCGGGGCACCTAGACGAGCGGCGGCGCCATAGCCCTCCTGGACGACTGGCGGCGGCGACGAACGGCGGCGACTGGGAAGGGGTTTGGTTCGTCAGCAGGCTCCTCTCGAGTCAGTTTAGTTCGTGGGCTGCCTGTCTGGGCCCAGCAGGCGCAACCTTAGTGGGCTGTGACCCGGGCTGTGATCCTGGTTTGCCTGGGCCAGCTGCGCCTTTCGCCGAAATCAGGTTAAAGTTCATTCTCCAGCTTCTCAAATATATGCTGCATGTGCGTTGTTTTGTCGTAATAGAAGGCTTTTTCATTTTTATAGATTTGTTTATTCAAAATATATTTTTCTTAAGCCTTGCATCGAGATCCCATGCTAATAGGTTTCAGCGAACTTTTACTTCACAAAAAACTAAATATAAACAAAAAATGAATACCAGAAAAATAAAAAAATAAGAAAAAGGAAAACAAAGACCAAATATGTGCTTTCATGATAATTAACTTTTGTTATTTTTAAACTTATGTTTATATGTGCTTTCATGATTTTTTTTATAAACTAATTGTACCTCTCGCGGAAGCAAACATGTGCTTTCATGATAATCAAATACATGCTTCTCATGGAAGCATGAATATTATTTTTTTGAGAAGCACAGTTGTGCTTCTCACGGAAGCAAATATGTGTTTCTTATGGAAACACAAATAAACATAATTGTGCTTCTCACGAAAGAAAATCTGTGTTACCACAAGAAAAAGAACATATGCTTAGATTTTTCTTCCTTTCAGAAAGTACAGCTCGCGGAAGCAACTATGTTCTTCTTTTGAAAATACATATTTTCTTTTCCTTTTCGAGAAGTATAATTCGCGAAAAAATCTTCAAAACCTAGAAAAAAAACATGTGAAAACCAGAAGATGACAAAAACTGAAAAAATAAACATCTAAATCATAAAACACATATAGAAAAATAAAAAATAAAAAATTAGAAAAGCACCCAGCATGTGACACATGGCAGCAACTGGGCGCATCACTTGGTGCACTCCGAGGCCACAACAATGACCCTTGTGGGAGCCCTGCAAGGATAACACTTAGTTAGTTGCTCTCACCCTAACTATTTCTCGTCTGTTGTGAGGCAAAAGCTCCATCCCTGCATTGGATTTTTACTTTTAATTTTTGTTCTTTTTATTTTTTAATCTTTTCTTTCTTATTGCGTGCATTTTTTTGTTTTTTCTTGGTTTCTTTTGTTGTTTTTACTTTTCTTTTTATATTTTCTCATTTTCCATTTTTTTCAACTCATGCGTATCTTTCTAACACATGGTGTACATTTTTAGTATACATAAGAAACATTGCCTATACATGTTTAAAATATCTAGATACACGTTTTTATTATAATTTTTGATGTCTATATTTCATACACATTGTAAATTATTTGTATACATCTCAAAAGCATTTTTACATGTTTAAATTTTTCAAAATACATGATTATTAGTTATTTTAGAATATATGCTTTCATGTCTACTTTTTTCATACACATTGAGAATTTTCTTACACATAAGGAACACTTTTATACATGTTTAACATTTCTTAAATACATTATTTATAAATTTATGATTAGATGTCTACATTTTTCATACACATTGTACATGCTTTGTATACATTAGGGACATTTTTATACACATTTAATATTTTCGAAATACATGATTAACTTTTTTTTCAAGTATACATTTTGATTTCAACATTTTTCTCATACATGTTGTTCATTTTTCGTGGACATTGGTAACCTTATGTTATACAGGTTAAATATTTTTCAAATACATAATTAACATTTTTTAAATATATGCTGGAATGCCTACTTTTTCTCATACATGATGGGAGTAGGCTTACTTTTCAAATCTATATTGGGATGCCTACATTTTTTTCAGATACATGTCTGCGGTAGGAGCTACAATCGGAGACGACGGGTGTTGCGATTGGTGGCGGATGGTGTTGAAGGCCGGCGACCAGCAGGTGACAAAGTGCTACAATCGGCCACACGATTGTGGTGGAAATATGCCCTAGAGGCAATAATAAATTAGTTATTATTATATTTCCTTGTTCATGATAATCGTTTATTATCCATGCTATAATTCTTTTGATAGGAAACTCAGATACATGTGTGGGTACATAGACAACACCATGTCCCTAGTAAGCCTCTAGTTGACTAGCTCGTTGATCAATAGATGGTTACGGTTTCCTGACCATGGACATTGGATGTCGTTGATAACGGGATCACATCATTAGGAGAATGATGTGATGGACAAGACCCAATCCTAAGCCTAGCACAAAGATCGTGTAGTTCGTATGCTACAGCTTTTCTAAATGTCAAGTATCATTTCCTTAGACCATGAGATTGTGCAACTCCCGAATACCGAAGGAATGCTTTGGGTGTACCAAACGTCACAACATAACTGGGTGGCTATAAAGGTGCACTACGGGTATCTCCGAAAGTGTCTGTTGGGTTGGCAGAAATCGAGACTGGGATTTGTCACTCCGTGTAACGGAGAGGTATCTCTGGGCCCAGTCGGTAGGACATCATCATAATGTGCACAATGTGACCAAGGGGTTGATCACGGGATGATATGTTACGGAACGAGTAAAGAGACTTGTCGGTAACGAGATTGAACAAGGTATCGGCATACCGACGATCGAATCTCGGGCAAGTACAATACCACTAGACAAAGGGAATTGAATACGGGATTGATTGAATCCTCGACATCGTGGTTCATCCGATGAGATCATCGTGGAACATGTGGGAGCCAACATGGGTATCCAGATCCCGCTGTTGGTTATTGACCGGAGAACGTCTCGGTCATGTCTGCATGGTTCCCGAACCCGTAGGGTCTACACACTTAAGGTTCGATGACGCTAGGGTTATAAAGGAAGTTTGTATGTGGTTACCGAATGTTGTTCGGAGTCCCGGATGAGATCCCGGACGTCACGAGGAGTTCCGGAATGGTCCGGAGGTAAAGATTTATATATGGGAAGTCCTGTTTTGGTCACCGAAAAAGTTTCGAGTGTTATCGGTAACGTACCGGGACCACCGGGAGGGTCCCGGGGGTCCACCAAGTGGGGCCACCGGCCCCAGAGGGCTGCATGGGCCAAGTGTGGGAGGTGACCAGCCCCAGGTGGGCTGGTGCGCCCCCCACAAGGGCCCAAGGCGCCTAGGGTTTGGGAAGGGGGCGTACCCACCTTACTTGGGGGGCAAGTTTCCCCCTCTCCCCCCTTTGGCCGCACCCTAGATGGGATCTAGGGGCTGCCGCACCCCTTGAAGGAAATATGCCCTAGAGGCAATAATAAAGTTATTATTTATTTCCTTATATCATGATAAATGTTTATTATTCATGCTAGAATTGTATTAACCGGAAACATAATACATGTGTGAATACATAGACAAACATAGTGTCACTAGTATGCCTCTACTTGACTAGCTCGTTTATCAAAGATGGTTATGTTTCCTAGCCATGGACAAAAGAGTTGTCATTTGATTAACGGGATCACATCATTGGGAAAATGATGTAATTGACTTGACCCATTCCGTTAGCTTAGTACTTGATCGTTTAGTATGTTGCTATTGCTTTCTTCATGACTTATACATGTTCCTATAACTATGAGAAATATGCAACTCCCGTTTACCGGAGGAACACTTTGGGTGCTACCAAATGTCACAACGTAACTGGGTGATTATAAAGGAGTATTACAGGTGTCTCCAAAGGTACATGTTGGGTTGGCGTATTTCGAGATTAGGTTTTGTGACTCCGATTGTCGGAGAGGTATCTCTGGGCCCTCTCGGTAATGCACATCACTATAAGCCTTGCAAGCAATGTAGCTAATGAGTTAGTTACAGAATGATGCATTACGTAACGAGTAAAGAGACTTGCCAGTAACGAGATTGAACTAGGTATTGGATACCGACGATCGAATCTCGGGCAAGTAACATACCGATGACAAAAGGAACAACGTATGTTGTTATGCGGTTTGACCGATAAAGATCTTCGTAGAATATGTAAGAGCCAATATGGGCATCCAGGTTCCGCAATTGGTTATTGACCAAGAATAGTTCTAGGTCATGTCTACATAGTTCTCGAACCCGTAGGGTCCGCACGCTTAAGGTTTCGATGAGAGTTATATTATGAGTTTATGAGTTTTGATGTACCGAAGGAGTTCGGAGTCCCGGATGAGATCGGGGACATGACGAGGAGTCTCAAAATGGTCGAGACGTAAAGATCGATATATTGGACGACTATATTCGGAGTTCAGAAAGGTTCTGAGTGATTCGGGTATTTTTCGGAGTACCGAAGAGTTACGGGAATTCGCCGGGGAGTATATGGGCCTTATTGGGCCATACGGGAATAGAGGAGAGAGGCCTAAAGGAAGGAGGCGCGCAGCCCCCCTCTGGTCCGAATTGGACAAGGGTTGCGGCCCCCCTTTCCTTCCTCCTCTCCCCCTCTTTCCCCCCTTCTCCTACTCCAACAAGGAAAGGAGGGAGTCCTACTCTCGGTGGGAGTAGGACTCCCCTTGGCGCGCCTCCTCCTGGCCGGCCGCCCCCTCCCCCTTGATCCTTTATATACAGGGGCAGG